AATTAGCCAGGTGTGTGGTGGCAGGTGCCTGTAGTCCTAGCTACTGGGGAGGCTGAGGCAGGAGGATCGCTCAAGCCCAGGAGTTTGCGCCATGATGACGCCACTGCACCCTAGTTCAGGTGACAGAGTGAGACTATGTCTCAAAAAGAAGAAAAAAAAGTTTAAAGATATGAAAGACCTTGTGGCCATGGAAATGTTCTGTACCTTGACAATACCAATGTCAATATATTAGTTGTGGTATTACAGCATAGTTTTTGCAAGATGTTATCACTGGGAAAAGGTAAAGAACATCTTGCTGTTTTATTTTCTTACAACTGTTTACGAATCTACAATTATTTCATAAATAATTTAATTTTAAAATGCCCTGCAATATGTAAATAATTCAGCATAAAGTGCATTATTTAAATATTATGCCGATGTGGCCTTGTTCCAGGCCATACTCCTGGCTCCACCCTTAACCACTGTTACACCTCTCCCCATCAGTAGGGATGCAGCCTGGATCTGCGGTCGGTATGAGAACAAGTGTCACAGCTGTAAAGGTTCTTGCTAACGTCACAGAAAGGAATTTCAGGACACGCACACAACTGAGCAATAGGGGCAAGTTAATTGTGTGAAAGCCACCAGGCTCAGGAAAGTCTCGTGCAGAAGCGAGAGTGACTCCCAAAAAAGAGAGTGGGCAGGATGGAAAAACAGCAATTGCCCTGAACTCTGAGCTGTTGCTGTTTTTATTTGTTGAAGCCAAAGAAGGTTGGGCAGTCAGTGTTTACTCTGTTCTTACTCATAGTTCCCTTGTTTTTCCCACAAGGGGGGTCAAAACCATAATGTTAACTTAACTGCAATTGTGATATATGGGGGAAAGGTCACATTGTACCTGCACAATGCTGGGAAATTAATGGCCCTTTTCTTCTCCTCCACTGTTTGTTCCAGGGCTGTGGAGCCAGTTGACTAACTTTCCGTTCCCTGCTCCCTTGCTCTTTCCTAACTGACTACCTGCTCTTACAGGAGGAGCACGGTCTGAGCAAATCTGTGGAGCCACATCGCCTGGGATTGGGAAGTAATTGGAGTAGAGGGAGTGGAGGAGAACAGAAGTGCTGACTCCCAGTTTGAAGCTCGCCCTGTAAGATAACAGAGCTCTCTCCAGCAGCCTCGGGGTAGCTGGGAGGCCTTTCTTGGGAGAGAGAGGGAGAAGAAGAAAAATTAGGTCCACATATGCACATTTTTCCTTATTTTTCCCTCTAATATATTGAAGAATTGTATTTATTTTGACAGCTTTCTGAAATATTCCATCCAAAGTGTCCCCTGAACACAATGATCAGGGTTTCTCTAAATCCATTAACCAATTCTCTTAGCAACTTAGGATGTATATTACAGAGGCAGAATTTTTAAAGATATTTCAATGTTTTTCAGGTACTTGCTTTTTAAAAAATCAGTAATTCATTTCACACAATTTCCCTTGCTTATTTTCCTGATATTTTTTAACCAATGGCAGACTTTAACTATTAATACAATGTTGGGCTGGGTGTGGTGGCTCACACTTGTAATCCCATCACTTTGGGAGGCTCAGGAAGGAGGATCACTTGAGGCCAGGATTCAAGACCAGCCTGGGCAATGTAGTGAGATTTCATCTCTACAAAAAAATTACCCAGGCATGTTGGTATGGCCCTAGTCCCCCCTACTCGGGAGGTTGAAATGGGAGGATCTCTTGAGCACAGGAGGTCAAGGTTGTAGTGAGCTACATTGGTGCCCTTGTACTCTGGCCTAGGCAACAGAACCTTGAGATCCTGTCTCACAAAACAAACAAAGGAACTATAATATTGTACCTCTAAGATTTCCAATCATGACATCATGCTATTCATCCCTTGTTTTTTTTTTTTTTTGTCAGTTACCTCTTCTCATATAGGTGAATTAGTAAGAATTCTTTTTTTATTTTGCTTTGAAATTTAGAAGCACATTTTATTTAAGATCTGAAATACAATTCTTAAAATATCAACTTTTCCAGAAAACTGTGGCTACACAGTAATGTATTTTGTCTATCATGTTAGAATGTGCATTAGACTCACATATGAAAACCATGAAACGAATCACCATCCTTCAATGATCTGAGCAAAGATAGAATGCCTAAGGAACAACATCGATGGACTTGCAGGGGAGGGGCAGTTTTGCTTCAAGCACCACAAAATAAATAAGAGCACAAATGCATGGGTTTTCAGGTATGTATTAAGACATTAAGTTGAAACTTTGGCACTAGGCATCAGGGAGTTTTGTAGCATAGCATTAGCACATATTAGAAAATTGTACAGTGTCAGAGGGACAGAACCACCAGCATTCAAGCAATGTTGTTAACTACGCAATGAAATGTTCTACTGAATGTTTCATTTTTGTCTAATTACTGCACACACTTGGTAGCAACTTTAGAATGAGAAAAGGAGCTTCACCCCTTTTATTCTCTGTTTAAAACAGAACAGAGGCCGGGCGCGGTGGCTCACGCCTGTAATCCTAGCACTCTGGGAGGCCGAGGCGGGCGGATTGCTCGAGGTCAGGAGTTCGAGACCAGCCTGAGCAAGAGCGAGAGCGTCTCTACTATAAATAGAAAGAAATTAATTGACCAACTAATATATATAGAAAAAACTAGCCGGGCATGGTGGCGCATGCCTGTAGTCCCAGCTACTCGGGAGGCTGAGGCAGGAGGATTGCTTGAGCCCAGGAGTTTGAGGTTGCTGTGAGCTAGGCTGATGCCACGGCACTCACTCTAGCCTGGGCAACAAAGCGAGACTCTGTCTCAAAAAAAAAAACAGAACAGAAAACAAACTGAAACATAAGCCCTGTTATACATTAACAATTTTAAAGAACATCAATTATACAAGAAAAGGAAGAACTCTTCTTTCTCTCAAGAATCTTGGCCATCATTAACAATCTCCTTTTTTTTCCTTTCTGGTTTTATGTCTTTCTTCCACATTTTTGTCAAACTATTAATATAATCTTGCTTCATCTTATCTTTTCTTCTTTGTTTCCACCTGGAGAGGTTTTGCTGATACTCTGTCTCCACACTGGAAACATATTACTATTTATTATTATTTTTATTTCTAGTCTTGAGAATAACAAATACATATATATAAACACATGTATATATTTCAGCAAGACAGTGTACTTTTCACTGTTTTTAAATCTCCCTAGAACTAGATGTTTCACGTTAAGTGCTTCATACAACAGAAATCTCAAAATCATTTTTTCCCCCACTGGAATTATGGATGCCAGAGTGATTACATAGAACCTTCACTGCTATTCCCAAGTGCTTAGAGAGAGGCCTCTTCTGAAGAGGAAGGAAATTCAGAGATATTTGGGATTACGATGAGGTCTCTGTGGAGTCCGTGGCTGGTACCACAGACTGCTGTGCGCTGAGACGCTTGTACTAGATGGCTTTCGGTCGCCCACACTGCCGTTGCTGGTTGCTGTTTAAGCAGGCTCATCCTTCTTTTTCCTGATGATGCAGCCTCAGCACGAAAGAGTGCGGGATCACCATCTCCCAGCTGTGGGAGCTCTGAGGTGTTTCTGAGATCTGACTTTGTTCCCCAGAGCTGACCGCTGATTCAGAGAGCAAATCAAATCAAATCAGCCTAAGTATAAGGAGCTTATTTGGGGATCCGGAAAACCTGTGGGACACCAGGGAAGTTGGGCCTCCTGTGACAGGAACCGGGAGCTAGAAAGACTGAATCTAGGGCGCGCTCTCTCGGGGTCTTCCTCTGTCCTTGTTTTTCTTAGTCTCCCTTTTTCTTGGTAATCATGTGGCCCCTCGACTCATCTTCCCATGTGCTCTCTCCCCTCCCCCATCTCATTCTCATTCTCTTTCTCTGTAGGTTTACAGTTCAAAATGTCCACCAGCCCCAATATTTCATCATCACCTTCCCGTTCATCCTTCTTCATGTCTTGGAGTTCCAATTTCAAATCCCTGAGGAAGAAATCTGGGTCTCATACTCTCTTTTAGAGCCACACCATAGGATTCTGGAAAAACCTGTATATGGGACCGTCTGGCATCTAGGGCATCTCACTCACCTTTGGCAGGTGCAGTGGGCAAGACAGGATTATTTGAAACAGATGGGGCAATTCTTTCAAAATGTTAGTATGTTCTCTAAGGATATTTGTTTACCTGTATGATTGTTTATTGTATCCTGGCAATACTTTTCAATAGAGCCTAACATTTACTGTGGAGGGAGAAGCTGCTTCCCCAGAAGTTAGCCTGAGCCAGATGGGGACCCATTGTTCACACCTGCAGTAGGATCTGTGGGAGCTGCTATGTAATTGTGATTACGGTATTTGGGGGATCAGGGTACTGAAAAGAGCAAAGGGGTGATGGTCTGGAATCCAGTGCAATGCTTATGCACCAGTCCTGACATGATCCTAGCTCAATGTGTGACCTTGGGCAAATCAAATCACTTTCTGAGCTTCCCCCTGACCCCTTTGGTACAATGAGGCCAGTGTACATCTGCGGTTCCCAGATTCTTAGAATATGAAACTCTTTTTAATGTCAAAAAGGTCATGGATTCCCCATTATAATGGTGTCATTTTTACTGCCCAGTGAAAGGTTAAAAACACACACACACACACACACACACACACACACACACACACACACACACACACATATATATATATATGTTTCAAGACTCTTGGAATAATTCCAGAGTCTCTGAGAATCCAAATGCCAGAGGCTAGAAACCATTGATCTAGCTGACTTTGAGGCCCCTTCCGTCTCTGATATTCTGGGATTCAAGTCACGGAAATTGAGACTACTTAGAAAACATTCACTTATTCAAGAGGAAAGCTGACATTAAATATCAGATCTAAGGGCAGCACTAGAAGTTTTCAAAAGAGATGAATTAAAGCAGATTCCAGGGTCTAAGAATTTGAGTTGAGCGAGAAGATGACAGAAAATTCAGTACTCATAGCAGTGGGAGGCTGTGAGCAGCACGCTGGGGAGCAGGGTTACGTAGTTCAGCTCATACCTGGTAAAGGGGCAGATGCCATGGGCACCAAGACAGGGAAAGCGGAGGGGAAGGTGACCTTCACTCCCAGGCAGGTGGAACAACTCTTCTGGCCCTGTGCAAATATATAATAACATGTGAAATATAAAACAGTACATCAGTTGATATAATTAATAATATGTAATAATATATGTTATATTAAATGATATTCTTATACAAAAGCACTAAGACAGTGCATGGTACATAGTAAGCTAGTTTTCCTCTCTCCTCCTTAATCATAATAACAAATTCTTACTTAAAGCCTTCTAGTTAAACTTCTCTAAAGATTAGTACCATCTAAGTTGACGACCTCAAGGTACTGGCAATGTCTTAGGATAATTTCTACAATGTATGTCCAAGAGGTATGCTCACAGAAAAGTCCATTCTTGTGATTCATCCCAACATTGTCCCTTTGTGTTTTTCAATGCTTTGTATGCATCATATCAAAACAGAGATTGATTCTCTAAGACATTCTGCCTTGTAGCATTCTTCCTAAAGTTTTTAGGAGATCTGAATTTGACAGTTTATATTTCCCAGAGTTAAACACACATTCGACTATTAGGTTGAAAATATAAGGTCAAATTTCAACCCAAATACTCATCTAACTGCAATTGAGAAGGAAGACAGGAAAAATAGGAAAAATTCTTGAAAATTTTACAGGTTATTAATTCTCAGATTTTTTTGTTATTAGTATTGTAATTTCCATATTCTAGGAAACATATCCTTTGGAGAATAAAAACTCCTTCTGCTTTTCCAGTAAGTTCAACTGTAGAAACTCTAAGAAAAATATTAATATAAACCTCATAACAAAGTATTGGCCCAAAATATGAATCAAACTAAAATGTTGTAGTGTTTTGAACAGTTCAGAGCGTATAAGAAAAATAGACCCTTCACATTCTCCTTTAAGTTGCAGAAGTGTACCGACAGAGAAATTATACTGCCTTTTTAAAGTCAAATATAATAGTAGTACTTGATTCTTCAGTGAATAATGTTCAGATATTCATATTCTGTGAATGTTGTGTTCTATTTTCAGTTTTCAGTATAGATAAAATATGTTTAAATGTTTTAAATCTAAGTGTTAAAAATTTTTTATTATTATTTTTAGTTGACATAGATATTTCTGAGGTATAGTGTGATACTTCAATACAAATATAAAATGTATAATGATCAAACAGGGTAGTTAGTATATCTATCTTCTCAAACATTAATCATTTCTTTGTGTTGGGAACATTCAAAATCTGCTCTTCTAGTTATTTTAAAATATACAATAAATTGTTGTTAATTATAGTCACCCTATAGTGCTATAGAAAACTAGATCTTATTCCTCCTATCTAGCTGTACTTTTGTATCTGCTAAACAACCTCTAGTTATGCTCCTTTCCTGCCCACTCCCATCCTCTAGTAACCACTATTCTACTCTCTACTTCTGTGAGATCAACTTTTTTAGCTTCTACATATAAGTGAGAACATACAGTATTATCTTTCTGTGCCTGGCTTATTTCGCTTAACATAATGTTCCCCAAGCTCATCCATATTGCCTTGAATAACAGAATTTTGTTCTTTTTTATGGCTAAGTAATATTCCATTGTGTATATATAATGAATTTTCTTTATTTATCTGTTGATGGACTCTGAGGTTGATTCTGTATTTTGGTTATTGTGAATAATGCTGCAATCAACAGAGGAGTGCAGGTATCTCTTTGATATACTGATTTCCTTTCATTTGAATATAAACCCAGTAGTGAATTACTTGATCATATGGTAGTTCTATTTTTAGTTTTTTGAGGAAATGCCATACTGTTTTCCATAATGGCTTTGCTAATTTACATTCCTCCCAATAGTGTATAAGAGTTCCCTTTTCTTGACATCGTTGCCACCACCTGTTATTTTTTGTTTTTTAATGATACCCATTCTAACTGGGGTAAGATGATATCTCATTGTGGTTTTGATTTTCATTCCCCTGATAATTAGTGATGTCAAGCATTTTTTCATGGGACTGTTGGCCATTTGTATGTTTCTTTTGAGAGATTGCTATTCAGCTCATTTGCCCATATTTCAATTTGATTATTTGGTTTTATGCTATTGAGTAGTTTGAGTTCCTTGTATATTCTGAATTTAATCCATTGTCAAATAGTTTGCAAATATTTTCTTGCATTCTGCAGATTGTCTCTTCACTCTCTTGATTATTTCCTTTGTTGTGCAGAAGCTTTTTAGTTTGATACAATCCCATTTGTCTATTTTTGTTTCTGTTGCCTGTGCTTTTGAAATCTTCTTCATAAAATCTTTGCCTAGATCAATGTCCTGAAATGCTTTTCCTGTGTTTTCTTCTAGTGGTTTTATGGTTTCATATTTTCAGATCTTACATTCTTTAATCTATTTGGAGTTGATGTTTGCATATGGTGAGAGATAGGGGCCTAGTTTCATTTTTCTGCATATGGATATCCAGTTTTCCCAGTACCATTTATTGAAAAAACTATATTTTCCCCAGTGAATGTTCTTGGCACCTTTGTTGAAAATGAGTTGCTTGTGTATAGATTTACACCTGGATTGTCTCTTTTTATGCCAGTATAAAAACAGTGATCAAATCAGTTTGGGTTACTATAATTTTTTAAATATATTTTGAAGTCTGGTAGTGTGACACCTACAGCTTTGTTCTTTTTACTGAGGATTACTTTAGCTATTCAAGGTCTTTTATGGTTCCACAAAAATTTTAAGATTTTTTTTTCTGTTTCTGTGAAGAATGTCATTGGTATCTTAATAGGGATTGCATTGAATCTGCAGATCATTTTTGATAGTATGGTCATTTTCACAATGTTAATTTTTCCAATCCAGGAACATGGGATGTATTTCCATTATTTTGTGTCTTCTTCAATTTCTTTCATGAGCATTTTATATTTTTCTTTGTAGAGATCTTTCATCTCATTGGTTAAATTTATTCCTAAGTATTTTTTGTAGCTATTGACAATGTGATAGCTTTCCTGATTTCTTTCTTTCACTAGTTTGCTGTGGATGTATAGATACACTACTGATTTTTATGTGTTGATTTTGTATCCTGCAACTTTATTGAATTTATTTATCAATTCTAACAGGTTTTTGGTAGAGCTTTCAGAGTTTTCTATAAATGAGATAATGTTGTCTAGAGCTTTTGTTGAAAATTTAAAATTGATACATAGCTGATAGAAATTGAAAGTGGGGACAGAGGAAGAAGAAGTAAGGGGAAATGTAGGAGAGAAACACAAACCCAAAAGGTCCTAGAGAAAGGGAAAACCAATGTACATACAAAGGACTGGTTATAAGGATGGCATTGTTTATAACCCCGTAGCTCTCACAAAGATTTTTTTCTTCCACTTAAGCCAAAATTGTGGCCAAATCCTTTCTGCTGAAGGCTCATCATCTGAATTTTACCCTTGAATTCTCCCCTCATCACTCATGCTCTGTCCATTGAAGATATTCCTACAAAGTTCTATCACATACTCTCACAGTCTCTTCTCCCCTTAACCTATTTCCACATCTGACATTGTAAGAGACTAAATGTATACTGGCCTGAGTCTTCCTCCCTTTGCTGGGAGGCCCATTTCTTCAGTCATGATCTGTGGTCAACTATGGATTTCCTCAGCACATGCCAAGTGAGCTCAGCTACCAGGAGATCTGCAGAGACTGGCTTCCACTTGCTCTCTACACCAAGATGTTGATAACTTTTTGCTTCTTCCTGCTCGAAGCCGTCATGACTCTCTTTGGTGATAGAAGGAGATGTGGATATCAATCTGGAACAGCTGCCACAACCCACATAATACCAATACCAATTTAACCTACAAACACCATCACGAGAATTCTCTGTTGATTCCCAGATAATAAACCCATCCACACCTCAACATCATCCAGTTGAATGAGAAGGTGAAGCAGCATTAATCTGCTTACATTGAAAGCAAACACATTTCTGTGTAGGCATTGTGCCTGAGAAGTTCTTAAGTATGCAGGCTTGAATTTATACATTTGTACAAAATCAAAACCCCTTCTTTACTTTGTTCTCTCTGTCTCCTCTCCCCAGTTTTCCTTGTATTTCCTCCATGATGGTCTTATAGTAGTACTATCTAACCCCAGGTTATGGTAGGCTCATACTTTTGGGTTCTTCCATTATCATTTCATTATTCCATGTGTTTTTAGTTGTTCCTGCATTCTTATAACCTGCAGATGCCAGAAACTGTTAAAATGGTGGTCATCTCTCGTGCCATTTAGCTTTTGCTGCATAACAAATCACCCAGAAACTTAACAGCTTAAAATAACAACTGTTTTTTAGCTTGTGACTCTTTAGTTCAGCAATTTGGACAGGGTTTCAGTGAGGCAGTACTGGCCAGGTTGGCTGGGATTTGGCTGGTCGGGGACCTCAGCTGCAATGGCTCGTCTCTACATGGTTTCTTTTCTCTCATTAGGCTCTCTGGGCAGGATCACATGGTGACTGCATTGTTCCAAAAGTACAATATAGGAAGCTGCAAGGCCTCAGCTTGGAACTCATTCATTGTTACTTTGACCACATTGTACTGATCAAAGAATGCTGAAAGGCTACCCCAAATTCAAAGGGACCCTACCTTTTCATGGGAGGAACTACACAGTTTTATGGCCATTTTTACAATGTACAGTATTTCAGTAGAAAAAAACTGGAAGTAGAGGAGGAGAGAAATGGACAACTTTTATTTTTCATTTATACCATTCTGTCTTTTTTGAATTTTTAAAATCATGGAAACAGACATATTACTTCTATAATAATAACAATAATGATAATAACATTAAAATATGACTCCAAATACTTCTTGTATTACCTTAATTACACACCAGGATAATATTTGAATCCATTAACATTTCAAAGGACCCATAATTTTAGTCAGACATCTAATTTAAGGCCATGTCTTCAGACCTCCTCTAATTATAAGGCTAAGTGATGGCAGGTTTAATATGCAATCCTCCAGTATGGAGGTTGGCACATAGTAAATGCTTAAGGAACATTGGTTGAATCTAAATCAGAATGAGAATATGGGGGAAAAAAGATGTATGAATGAAGGGAAACTAGACTTAAAATCTGTTCTATTAATTTAGCCTTTGTAATCAACTTTTATCATGCAACTTGGACTTTCATGGATAAGAAAAAAGATTTGATTTCACTTTCATACACTTGGGACATGAACTGTTGGATGAAATAACAGCGTGTCCATAATAGTAACTGGGAATTACAACCCATGGAAGAAGCAAAAGTGTTAAATTCTAATTCTGCAAGTCACCATTCTAATTAAGAAATCATATATCTTAAAAAATGCCAGGGATGCTCCTCATTTATATTAAGTGGGGCCTTGGAGGAGCACCCCAGGAAGTTATGTAAAAAATTCTCCTTTCTTTAGAAGTTGCAGTACAAATCAGGAAGAAGCAGAAAGTGACCTCTAAATTTTGTTACATAGACCCCATATTCAGTTTGATCTGGTGCTCTTACCAGTCCTTTCTATTGCTCCAAATTAAAGATACATAAATAATACCAGTAAGAATATGTTAGAAAAAATCTTGCAGATTCTTCCTTGGCTGATTTTCAGTCTACAATACATTTTCTGAAATCCTTCTTATTAAGCATTTACAAAAGTGGGCTGGCTATTTATTTAATGACCATTAGAAGCCATCCTGACCTTTCCCAGGAAGGTCAAAGAGTAGCCTGTTATTTGGATGCCTAATTTAACTGAACAAAGGAAATTGCTTTCATCATTTTTACTTTGCCCTTCCTGATTGAACCGAATGTCAACTTTCCACGCAATGTTCCCCAACACACATTGATGTTCCTAATGCAACCAGATTAGATCAATCTGCATCTGTCTCCATTGTACCCTGGGATTGCATACACTTTGGATACATATTTATTTTGTGGATTTCATTTCCATGTTAATTAGAATGCAGGTTCCTGGAATTTCCTTTCTGAGTATGATAATCTTCTTATAGTCAGTATGATGGAAACAGCTGTGCGCTATTTACTTTAAGAAGGATGATGTTCTTTGCTCAGATGATCATTGGATATGTACTTTCTAGATCAGCAATTGCACCTCCATTCCTTCTTATAGAATTATCAGAATGTTAATTTATTCAGGACTTTCAAACTCAATTTTATTGGGTCAGTGTGTTTTGGGGAGAGCATAGCTCACAACAAAAATTATTGAGAAGTCATACTTACTAATACATATTTCAATCCTTCTACTATAACCTAGCTCTCTATCCAAGTAGATTTTTTTAAAAAACAGATACTTTCTAATACTTTCTGTATTTTTCTAATTACACAAGTTAGATATGTCAAGTGCAGAAAATCTAGAAAATAGACACTATTAACGTTTTGATGGCTTTCTTTCCACATATGTGTAATACATTTTTTAAAGGTATTTTTACTCTGAGAAGATAAATATGGTGTCAGTCCCAAACACTTTTCACCAGCTAGCCTTCTAATCTAACCAAGAAGTTATTAGATAATAAAATAAATCAGATTATTCAACCCAACATCAACCCAACATGTATTAAAGATGTACTGTGTGATACACACTTTCTCTGTGGGCACAAAAACAAATAAGACACACTTTTGCCTTGCAAAAGTTTATAAGCCACAGGAAAAAAAGACATAGTAAATAATAATTATAACATAAGCAGATTGTGATAGTAATATTAACCATTTACTGAGCACTAACTCTGTACCAGGTACTTTTTATTCTTCATAATATCCTATAGGGTGGGGACTATTATTCTCCCCAGTTTATAGAAGAGGAAACTGAGATTGAGAGATGTTAAGTATTGTATTCCAAATCACACAGCTAGCCAGTGGTACAAGTAGGACTGGAATCTAGCAGTCTGGTTTCAGCCAGGTTTTCAATCACTATACTCTACTATAGGAGAACTCTTCAGTCATAGCATATCTTCTGCTTACATACTTATATAAAACTCTCTCAGAGTTTTCTCGATATGAATTACAGATCCAAGTGCTCCACAGGGTTTGTCCAGGGTACTGCACTCCAGGATTCTTAAGAGAAGGGACCAGCAGTAGAACATTCATACATTCATTTATTCATCCTTGAGCTAGTAGGTCTATGAAAGAGGTCCTATGGCTGTACGGGAAGAGATAAGATACTCAACACACTGGTGTTTTGCCACATTCATGATCTGGGATAATTTTCTCTGAGATTTCAGACAGTGAGTGTTGCCCAGGGGATAACTCCTTTAGTATCTGAAGACCTAGCAAAATCTGCAAGGTAGCAGATGCCTTTGAATTTATATCATTTAGTGGTTAAGTTTGGCTGTATACAGCAGAATGCCCAAATATTAATATAATAATGGTGTATTCTAAAATATGGAGGTTTAATTTTTTGTTACATAGAAGGAGACTAAAGCAGGCAGTCCAGGGACGGTCTCATGGCTCTGTGGTATCATCAGGATCCCAGACTCCCCCACCCTTTCCCCCAGTCATCCTTAGCAGGTGCCTTGTGGTTGCACGTGAGCAGCCAGAGCTCCAGCAATCACAGTCAGCTTCTAGGCAGGAAGCAGGGGAAGAGCAAAGGAGAATAAAGGGCCGATGACAAGTGATTCAGTTCCCTTTAAAGAACTTTTCCATAAGTTCTACTTGGTGAAGTCTGCTTACATTTTATTGGCCAGAACTGTTCACATGATGATTCCTAGCTGCAAGAAAGACTGAGAAATGTTTTTGTTTTGTTTTGTTTTAAATTGTGCACGTTGCCATCCCAAACAAAATCAAGCTTAGTAAATAAAAATAGAATAGATATTGGGTAAACAACTCATAGTCTCAAGCACATCACCTGAGCTTACCTGTGTGTGCATCTTCAGGGCAACCATCACATACTACAGACATCCCGGCTTCCCTCCCTGGAGACTTTTCTCTCCTCTCTCCAGGGTCAGGCGCATCCTTTCATTAGCACGAGTAAGGATCAAACAAGAGAAGAATCAGGCTTTGTCAATTTCCACTCCCATCACTGCTTACTATCTTATCAATGAAATTTTAAAAAGCATAAGAAATTTTTTTGCATCCATGAACTTTTAATTCTATCTACTTCTTTTTGTCATAAAAATAAAATAAATCATTTTTCATATTTACCCTTTCTTGTGTTCCCTTAATCTTGTATGCACAAAATTGCAGTATGATTGACCTTGCTTTTGAAGTCCAATCCAAGGTTGAGGTCCTGCCCTCAGCAACATGCTATAAATTCTTGAAAGAAGAGACACTACTCCTGGCTGTTGTCAGATGCTCTGGGACATGAGCAGTTCTGGGGAAAGCCCCAGCTAAGGAAGATGCCCCTCCAGTTGATGAACACACTGTAATTCTTATTTCAGACAGGAAAAAGGAGTAGAAAGGAAGATGTTATGACTATACAACAAATAGACCAAGAATATATTTAAAAGAAAATGTGGCACCATTTGGAACTCTGATGGTCAAAATAATCTTATCTGCCTAGGTGTATACCCAAAAATAGTGAAAGCAGGGATTCGAATAGGTACACAAATGTTAACAGCAGCATTATTCTCAATACTCAAAAAGTGGAAACAACCTGAATTCCCATTGACAGATGAATGGATAAACAAAATGTGGTATGAACATACAACAGACTGTTATTCAGCCTTAAAAAAGAATGAAATTCAGATACATGCGATAACATGAATGAATCTTGAAAACATTATGCTAAGCAAATTAAGCCAAGCAGAAAAGGGACCAATACTATATGGTTTTACTTATATGAAGTACCTAGAATAGACAAACTCAGAGAGGCAGAAAGTTTAATAGAGGTTACCAGGGGCTTGGGGACGAGGAGAATGTGGAGTTATTGTATAATGAGTACAGAGTTTCTGTTTGGAATGATGAAAAAAGTCTGGAAATGAATAGTGGTGATGGTTGTACAACATTGTGAATATACTTAATGCCACTGAGTTGTGCACTTAAAAGTGGTTAAAATGGTTTCATATTATAAATGGTTCTCCATCTCTGTACCTATCAACTCTTCCTGCTTGCTAGAGACTTTCCCTTTTTGCCCTTAAGCAGGTGTGCCTCTCCCTGCGTTAGCAACATGAAGCATGACCTTGGCAACTCCTGGAGTGGCCACACGCCCTGGACCCATCCCAGCCTGAAGAGATGACCTTTTACTGCTCAGTCTTACAGCCTGGGTTCTCTGCTTAGCTCTCCCCAAGTAGGAACAGCAAAATTATTAGGACAGCACAATTATTTATCATGAGTTCTGTGCCTGGGCCTTAAGAGACCATATATAGTCACATAACAGTGGAAGTGACAGCTGTAGACCTTTTCTCTTTTAAATGAATGAGTCTATACTCATATTATTGTTCCTTAAAATAAGAACTCTGGAGACCTTGGGAAAGAATGGTACTAAGCAGTCAGAGTTCTGTTTATAAGGAACATAGTTTCAAGTGTTCTATGAGGCCTAGAAGTCCCAAGTTTTAAAAAGGAGATCATTTTTTTTTTTTGCCAGACGGTTTTAATAATAATATACAGTGCCTCATGTAAAAAGAGGCTTAGCTAATGGCAACCATGAGGTATGTAAGCATGAAAGACACAAGTGTTTATGCTGAGGGTTTTGATTTCAAAAATAAGGCTATGTTTTATGCTATTAGACAGCACGATTCACATTCCATAAAGGTTTTAAAATGTTTTGGAGATATCCATTGATTTACGGGCTTTTGGATTCTTGTAAATAATTACTCCATAATTTCTCAGTCTATATTTGACATGGATATCCAGAATATTCCATCAAGTACTTGCTGCAACCTCATCCTCCCCACCACCTCCCCTCAATACAGACATACAAAATTTGTAAGACCCAAGCAAGGTGCTCCCCTTTCTTGCTACAGTCAGATCACTAACTGTGCTGTCAACCAGAGTTCCATGTTGTTTATTTATTTATTTAGTTTTAATATCTAGGATTATTGTCTAAGCAGCACCATCCCAAGGAAAACGGTCCTTTCCTTGCTATAAACGCTGTCTTTGTATATGAAGGATTCACACACACACCTAAATGATCATTCAGGGTCAGCCTCTGGGTTGTTCTTTAACTTAGGCTCTTACCCAAAAAGAAAGCTACAAAAAGTCAAGAATCCCCCTTCTCTGCCTGAGAGATGTGGGATTCTTGCCTCCCCTCCATCCCAGGCCCTCCCATGTTCTGTTGATCGTAAGAAGCAAAATAATCCCCAATAAGTGTCAGAAGGCAGGACTGCTAGAAGACAGACTGGCTATGATGAACTATCATTTGGTATTACTGAAGCAAAAAATTGTGCGTCATTCACCAAAAGCTCACTTTCTATTCTTATAATTTAGCATCACATTGACAAAGCACAGGGTTAGAAATATAAACAAATTTAGAAAGGAAGAGATCAAATATAGGGAAAAGAACTAAAAGACTGACTTCTGCTTTCCATCAAAGCCTTTTAGCATTATTTTTATTTTAAACTGGGTAGATATAAGAATTTATTTAAAAATCTATGAGATTTTAAACATCTGGGGAGATTCCCATCCATTTTCCTATATTAACACTTCTAAACATTGCACATATTTATCTATCAAAGATGTATTGAGTTCCTCCTCTGCGCCCGCCAGGGCTCTCGGTGCTGAATACAGCGAACTCACCAGAAAAGTCCTGCTCTTAAGAGGCTTATAAAGGGGAGATAACAATGACCAAATAAATGTACAGTACATTAATATACAATAAATATTAAATAACATAAAATATTAAATATTTTTATAACAAACAATATTTTTGCATTTATATAGGAGTCTTCCGAAGGAAAACAATGACCCAAAGAAGCTGTTAGGCTCAAAAGCTTATATACCTTTTTACACAAAGAAGGACAAATTGTGGGGATGTGAGAAGGCAAAGGTCAGGGGCAGTAAACGGTGGGACAGTGACTAGGAAAAATGTGAGGGAAACTAGTGGAAGGTAAAGATTACTGTAGCAGGTTTGTTTTTTACATGTCCATTTCTGCGTTGATGCCCAGTCTCTGATGATAAGAATGTTCTCCTCTTCCTGGTACAGGGAGGGCACCTTTCTCATGAGAAGTTTTCTGACCTGCTTTTAGGTAGAAAGGGGTAGGGCAGTGAGCCCATCCTATCTATGCTGTTTCCCAAGTGCCTTCAGCTCAAAACAATCAGCATGTCAAAGCAGCACATTTTGGGGTGGCATGTTCCAAATCACTTCACTCTTAGGAGAGCATGTCTAAGTGCTCAAGGATCAAAGAAGTGGAGACATTCTAAGCAGAGTGCTCTGCATCCTGCAGTCCTCTTCCCACTGATTTCCAGTTCCTTCCCCACACAGGCTCTCCTTCACAGGAGGCCACACCCACGGTGATAACTGACAACAGTTAACCAAGCTAACCAGTGTAAAATAACCTTCATTTGCAATTCCGATGAGCAAAATTACAGGGTTCAACTGTGAATGTGGGGGAGGAGAACTAAGCTTGAGATCATTATTTCCACATCTAAGATCAGCAGCTGGAAAATACAGTACATCTGTGAAATGACAGTGTCAAAGATACCACCGCTTTGCATGGCAACAGCACACACACAGAAGAGGAACCCTCTCACAGAGCAGAACCAGAGACGTAGTGTGTTTGCCACATACCAGACCAGGCTACCATGGCATTGTGTGTCCAAACGACTGATAAAGGTCTTTGGAAAAAATCTACTGACCCGCAAGGAAAACTCGAGCTGTCTTTCCATTCTTTTTCTTTCATTGGTCAGAAGAATGTGTTCTTTCTCTGAAGAATGACTCCCTCATATAAGTCAAGTATGGAAGGTGGGGAGGGAAGAAATAAATATGGGAGTAAGGAGTTTTCCCAGAAGAAATGTAACATCTCTCTCACATTTCCATGGGATGTTTATTTCTGCATCATAGTCAGTAATTTACTGGAGGTCTTGGCTTCCAACAGAAAGGAGTTAGAATCCTGTATGCCATTCACTGGTTGTGAAGCCTGAGGCAAGTTAGTTAACATTTCTAAGTGTCTGTTTTCTCATTAGTAAGAGGAAACAACAAGAGAAACGAACTGAGAGGACTGTGGTGAGGATTCAATAAGAAAATGCTTATAAAGCACAGCACAGGGCTGGGTATGTGTAAATATTTCATAAATGATAGTCACTGCTGTCATTACTAGGGGGAACTTTCATAAATAATGTTTATCAGATAGAAAAAGTATAAGAATGAAAGAAAACAGTCAACATTAAGAATAATTGTTAGTTGTCTGGGATTTGTCTAACATAAATCTGCTGTAATGCTAAGTATATGACAACTATTTTTTAAAAGAAGCTTATTCAATAAAAAGCACTTAAAAATATCCTTGGTTTAAAATTTCTTAGTATATTAAGATTCATGATAATGTGAATTACTATTTAAGAAAAATACACATCATGAGATTTAAATATAGCATTAATATTTTTAAAGCAAACATTTCTTTTAATATTACCAATAGAAATAATTATTCTCTATACCACAGAAGATTTTCAATAAAAAATTTCAGCAATGAACAATTCATAAGTTTTAAATCACATGCTGTTCTCAGTAGCATGATGAAATCTCATATCATCCTGTCCTATCCCACCTGGAGCATGAATCCTTTTGTCTGCCTTATCCACACTGTCTACACTACCCACCTGTTAGTCACTTAATAGCCCTCTTGCCATCAGGTTGACTGTGGTGGTATTGCAGTTCTTGTGTTCAGGTAACCCTTATTTTACTTGATAATGGCCCTAACGCACAAGAATAGTGATGCTTGCAATGTGGATATGCCAAAGAGAAGCTGTAGTGCTTCCTTTATGCAAAAAGATGAACGTTCTCGACTTAATGAAGAAAGAAAAAAAATCATATGCTGAGGTTGCTAACATCTACCATAAGAACAAATCTTCTGTCTGTGAAA